ATAACTTTGAAATAAGTAATTTCACCGGCACTGTTTTATCAGATCACTTGAGGAGCTCAGGTCCATAAGGAGTGAGGAATAAAACATTTAAACAGAAGAAATATGACAGTTCTCAGCCCATCAAATGGTACACACTCCCTGGCCCAGTAAGTCATATCAAATTAATTTTCTGGCCTTTTACGTGGAATAAACATCTGACAAAACAGGAAAAATACTACTCTTGAAATACACAGCTTTCATAGTAACTTGTCTTGTTCTTAACCCAGTCCTCAGCATTAAGAGAGCCTTATTCTTTCCAAAAAGCAGAGCATTCAGGCACTGTCTTTGCCATAAAGGTGCTGCCAAAGAAACAGAACCATTCAGGGTGAAGAAAGTAGCAGGAAGCCAAGACTTTGATCTCTAATCCCAACTTAACCACGACTGTTTGATCTTAGAAAAAATATTTAGCCCCTGATGCATTAGCATTATACAGATTAATACAATGCTTTAAATATTACACAATCTTTACAAGTGCAATGCAAGTAAAGCTCAACAATTATGGCACCGAGTTCATTCACCAATTAACCAGCTCCAAGGTAGGTTTTAACAGTGAAATTATGCTCCATTAGTAAACCTGATAAGAGAGCTACTGCTTAAGATTATTTTCATACCTTCTAATGTTTCCTGTCTCAAATTCAACAACTTTTGCTTCAAATGCAAATCATCGTTAATCAAGCAAAAATTGTTACCTAGCAAAAAATATTAATATTTCATGGGTTTATTTATATTATAGCCACCACGAAAATCAGTTTAACAGGCAGCCCACAAAAAAGGGCTTAGGGGCTGCAGCCCATGCTCAGGGAAATGCAAGCTCTGAAGCCTCTCTAGAAACAGGCTCCAAACCGGAATCCTTTCAGAAAGAAGCACTTTGGAACACAGTCTTTAAAAACACATGTATACACTACCTCATTCTACTCTTTTTATATGATGACAAAGTTATGTGAATATCAATTAAAACCTTGATAACAAAATTTTAAGTCACTCAAAACTGTAACAAGTACACAAGTACTTTTAACTAGAAAGAAGTTAATTCATCTGCAAAATGCACCAAAACATGTGTTTTATTCTGTATTTTGATTATATTCAAAAATGTTTAAGCTGAGTAGCTCTGACCACTACTTCTTCCAATCAAGGAGCATCCTTCCCATCCTTCTACTACAAAAGGAAAGCAGAAAACAATCATTTTCCTCTGATTTCTGTCTTTCAAAAAGTTGGACAGCGTGAAATGCAGAAGAGTTTTGCCCCTGCAGAAGTGGACTCTGCACTCAGTGGAAAAATCAGTAAGTAAAAAGTATTTGGTATCAGTGTGTGGGTCTGTCTTTTCTTTTTAAAAGAATTCTAAACATACACAGTGCTTAAATAACTGTGTTGACAATACTTCAAACTGACATTCTACAAGTAACCTCTCAAAACCAAAACTTAAAAATTTACTGGTTTGGGGGTTGGTTTGGGTGGGTTTTCTTGCTTTGTGCCATTGTTGTTTTGGGCTGGGTTTTGGGTGTGGGTTGGTTTGGGGTTTTTTATTACTGTTTTCTTTACGTCAAACCACTCTTTACTGAACATGTGTGTTAAACACCTTCTCTCAACATTCACTCTACAAGCTGAGCTCCTATCCCAGTCAACCACAACTCAACACTTCTGTCCTTTACATTCAAAGAGAACTACCCAGAGAAAGCAAGGGAGGACTTACTCTAAAGACTTCCACACCTAGAAATCAGCAGGTACTGGAACAACATGATCACATTCACACTAACAAAACAGGCACACCTTTTCTTTTTTCTATGCTTTATGGACTCAAAAGGAAGATTACAAGTAGTTGTTTCCCCAGGTTATTCAGACTTAGAAGTGTCCTAGCTTACATGTATCACACCGTTATCAGTAACACTTCCAGTTTCAAACTGAAAGTTTCACCCCTTTAGAGGAATATTTTTTATGACAAAAGTAAGACAAACACCTACAGCAGAAAGGCTGCTTCTGCAGCCTACCTGCATCTAAAAATCTTACCTACTACTTGCAGAGAAGTAGTGTCCACACACTGTCCTCACTGATGCTCTCAAGCACAAAACTCCCCCAAATCTTCCATCTACTGTAGCCTGACTGTTTTTAAGTGGGCTGTATGACTCAGACTAGATCCATTTTAAAATGTAATTGTCACTTTTCTGGTATCGTCCAAACAAGCAGTCAGATGCTCTAGGGTCAAAATTAAAAGTTATATCAACAACAGTGAAACAGCCAATACGTCACTTGTTTCCTCTGCTGTCACCTCCAACACAAAGGAAACATCTGAGACCATATCTGACCCTGCTCCCTATCAGATGAAGTGGTACCCAACATTTACAACTCATGACTTTTATTCACAGTCTAAATATCAGGAGTTAAACAGTAGGGGTAGGCGGAAGTCAGTTATTTTAATTAATTTCTCAGGGCAGCCCTCTGTGAAGTCCTTTTTGCGTCAGGATACAGCCCATCACATCAGTGTTCCAGCAGAACTGCTGAGGGTAAGGCCAGCTGACAGTGCTCTTTGCAGGCTGACACACAAATAAGGACAGGGCTGCAGAGTGGCACCTTCATAGAGAAAACTCAATCCAAGAGAACCCTGAACGTCCTGTCGATGCCTGGGATGCCACCCAGGAGAAGATCTGCCTTCAGCACTGGGCATCAGGCAGCACTACAGCCAGACAAGACCGACAGTCAGCAAACTACTGACATCATTCCTAGGAATAGGAAAAGGAAAACCACAAGCAGACGTTCAAAAGAGCAGAGTTCTCAGGAGATATGCAGAGCCAGCATAAGGGTTTGCACATGCTGAAAATAAAGCGTGATGCAAAGCATGCCTTCACCTCTTGAGCCTCCCTGCTCAGCCCCGCGCCCCAGCCCCGCAGCCACCCCCCTCTGGGCTTTAACTCAGGAGAGGGACACAACTATTCCAGCAGAAAGCTGATAAACTAGACCACAAAAAGGTTCACCTTGCTAAAATGGCAGAAGACCAACAAGCACTGGAACTATGAAAAGAGAAGGGAGGAGCTATGCAACTGCAAAGAAAGGGAACAACAAGAGCCTGCCTTTTTGGCAGGCTGGCAGCTTGTGAGCAACCGCCTGTGAGAGCAGCTTCCAAGATCCTCTTGGATATGATGCCTCCCTAAAAGAAGGCCAAAAGGTCCCAGACAGGTGGAAGAAACAGCAAAGGACAAGTTATTCATAAAGCAAATTATCGGAGCGTTTCATAACTGTGATAGATGCTGCAGCAGGACTCAAAGCATCTACAAATGTCTTAATAAACCGCCCGAAATTAAAACACTAAATTGGATAAAAATCTAAATTAGTCTTGGATTATAAGCCAGAAGTAATCACTGACACTTACTGGTTCAAGATTCCCCTCGATGAGAGTAACCATTGCCACTGCCATCTGCTGTCTCCATAATAACGGATGAGAAACGAGCCCAGGTTTTTCCTAATCGCGTTCCCACTTGGGTAAAAACACCATTAGAACTGACCCAGCCTGACATTCGGGGACTTCACAGCAGAGAAGCCAAGAACTACACAGACCTCAACACCAGAACAGCTCACCCAAAGCACTTCCCCCAAAGGCTGCTTCGAACGGAGGAAGAACCCGGGAATGAATGAAAAGATGGAGCTGGAAGACTCTGAGCTGGCAACTCAGTTTTTTTCCTGAGCTGGACTTAAAACCGCTCACGACAGATGTTTGGGAACAACACATAAACCTCCCCGCACACTAAGCCAGATCTAAAGACTGTATATCGAGTTTCATACACGCACAAGCGAGGACTGGAAACCAGCCGCCTCTGCAGCGGAGCTCCAAGAGAAGGCAGGAACGCGAAAAAAACACCTCCTCAGGTCAGTGCTGCTACCAGCACGGCGCCTTCGCTCAGCACTACGCGGGCAGGGCTCTGGGAGCGAATAACCCCGGAGGCTCCGGAGGCAGAGCACAAAGGCAGCGCCGGGAGCTCTCCCTGCCCGCCGGGCGCTGCCGGAGCCCCGAGGAGCGGACGAGGAGGGGCCGCTCTCCGCAGCCCTCACCGCCACCCCGCCAGCGCTGGGGCTCCGCAGCGCAAACCCCGCTTTCTAAAGCACAAGCCCATGAGGGAAGCGCGGCGCGGCCGCGGGCGGCGCGGACCCCGCTCTTTGTTCGCCGCCGCGGGCAGGCCCGGCCCGGCCCCGGGCCCGTCCCTCACCTCGCGAACGTCCTGCAGGCACTCGAGCACGGCGAGGTTGTTGGCCCAGCTGTGCTTGGAGCAGAGCCGCACCACGTCCTCCCGGCACACCGCCTCCTCCGACAGCTTCCACCCGCTGCCCGACCCGCCGCCGCGGGCGCTCCGCGGCACGGCCGCGCCCGGCCCTGCCGGCTGCGCCACTCCGGGCAGGGCACCGGCGGCGCCGGGAGGGCCGGCGGGAGGGCCGGGCGCCGCCGGCCGCGCCGCCAGCGCCAGCAGCAGGAGCAGCGCCGGGCCCGGGCAGCGGCTCCGGACACGTCCGCACGGCGCCATCTTGGATCCGCCACCTCCGGCGTCCGCCCGCCCGCCCCACGGCACGCACGGCGTATGCAAATCAGCGCGTGACGGCGGCGGGACACGCCCCTCTCCTGGCGGAGGAGGGGGGCGTGGCTTGCGCGGGCCCCGCCCTCCCCCAGCACGCGGCGCGGCCGTTGTCGCCTGAGGGGAGTGAGGCGGCGCCACGGGGGCAGCGCGCGCCCAACGGCACCAACGGCCCCGCAGCCCCTCAGCGGCCCCCGCACCACCTCAGGGGCCCCCTCAGCCCCTCACGGCCCCGCAACCCCTCAGGGGCCCCCTAACCCCCTCACGGCCCCGCAACCCCTCAGGGGTGCCCTCAGCCCCTTACGGCCCCGCAGCCCCTCAGGGGTCCCCTCAGCCCCTCAGAGGTCCCCTCAGCCCCCCGGCCGCGCAGGGCGACCCTGCGGAGCCAGCGCCGGTGCTGGGGAGGGACGCCGAGCTCACCCCGGCGGGAAGGCGGCAGGCGGGCCGCGGGCCTCCCCCAGTAGGTGGCCAGTAACTGTGACCGGATTTTGCCCGAAATCTCTCGGTTCCCACTCGCAACTCAGCTGCCCCGGTGATAGAGAAGTAATAGAGATCATGGGGAAACTGGGCTTTGAGAAGGCTTGGATTAAAGAGGAGAAGGATGAGGAAAAACTACCGATGAATGAAGAAGAAATACAGAGGCATGTAGAGAAATTACAGAGCTACATAGAAAAAATGCAGAAGAATGAAGAAGAAATGCGGGAGAACAAAGAAAAAATGAGGAAGAACGAAGAAAAGATACAGGAGATCGATGAAAAAATACAGGAGATCAAAGAAAAAATACAGGAGAACGAAGTAAAAATACAGGAGGACAAAGAAAAAATACAGCAGATCAAAGAAAAGATACGGAACAATGAAATAAAAATACAGATGAACAAAGAAAAACAGGAAAAGAAAGAAAGAATGCTGAAAAATGTGGGGAAACTACAGAAAAATGAAGTAAAAACAGAGAACGAAATAAAAATAGAGAAGTTCATGGATAAAATACAGGCAATCAAAGAAAAAATGAGGAAGAACAAATCGAAAATACTGACGGACGAAGAAGGAATGCAAATCAAAGAAGGAATTAAGAACAAGGGAAAAATACAGGAGCTGGACAAAAAAATACAGGAGCTCGACAAAAAAATGCAGGAGCTTGACGAAAAAATGCAGGAGGGCAGAGAAAAAATACAGCAGCTCAAAGAAAAGATACGGAACAATGAGATAAAAATACAGACAAACAAAGAAAAAATACAGGAAAAGAAAGAAAGAAGGCTGAAGAATGTGGAAAAAACACAGAAGAATGAAATAAAAACAGAGAACGAAATACAGGAGTTCAAAGAAAAAATACAGGCAATCAAAGAAAAAATGAGGAGGAACAAAGAAATGCAGATCAAAGAAAAAACACATCAGATCAAAGGAAAGATACAGGAGCTCGATGAAAATATACAGGAGAATGAAATAAAAATGCAGGATGACAGAGAAGGAATACAGCAGATCAAAGAAAAGATACAGAACAATGAAATAATAATGCAGATGATCAAAGAAAAAATACAGGAAAATGAAGAAAGAAGGCTGAAGATTGTGGAAAAAATACAGGAGAATGAAGCAAAACCAGAGAACGAAATAAAAATACAGGAGGACAAAAATAAAATACAGCAGATCAAAGAAAAGTTACGGAAGAATGAAATAAAATTAGAGATGATCAAAGAAAAAATACAGGAAGAGGAAGAAAGAAGGCTGAAGAGTGCAGAAAAAATACCGAAGATTGAAGAAGAAATGCAGATCAGAGAAAAAATTAGGAAGAACAAAGAAAAAATACAGAAGCTCAACAGAAAAATACAGGAGCTTGACGAAAAAATACGGAAGAATACAGAGAACGAAATAAAAATACAGGAGATGAAAGAAAAAATAAAGGCAGCCAAAGGAAAAATAAAGAACAAAGAAAATAGCAAAATACCAAAGAACGAAACCAAAATACCGGAGAGTGAAGTAAAAACAGAGAACGAAATGGAAATTCGTAAGAATGAAATAAAAATACAGGAGATCAAAGAAAAAATACGGAAGAACAAATTAAAAATACAGGAAAGCAAAGAGAAAATACCGAAGAGTGAGGAAATAACAGAGAACAAAATAAAAATACGTAGGAAAGAAGAAAAAATACAGGAGATTGAGGAAAAAATGCGGAAGATCAAAGACGAAATGTGGAAGATTGAAGAAAAAATACAGAAGAACAAAATAAGGATACAGGTAAACGAAAAAATACCGAAGAATGAAGAAAAAATACAGAAAAATATGGAAGAATGAGAGAAAACTACAGAAGAATGAAGAAACAATATCAACTAAAAAACTAAAAAAACCCCAAAACCATTAATAAAATGCTGACAGTCAACTTTGCCACTGTCATTTCTCCATGCTGAGTGCCAAACTGTCAGGTGGAGGGATGATCTCCGTGTGTGGATGCCCTCATGGCCCCTCCTGGGGCAGGATGCTGGGCTGGCAGGAGGGCATGGGATCAATCCCACAGCCTGCAGCAGGCTGGCCCTCCCTGCAAGGAGCAGGCATCTGAACAAGGGCCAAAAAGTCACGTCTTGGGGGTGCCGTGAGGTGGCTCATTTTCAGGGTTGGTGGGTTGGCTGCACCTCCTGCCCTGTCAGTGCCAGCCACTGGGTTTTGGGGGTGGGATTTGCAAGGTCACACTCATCATGGCCCCCGGGCTTTCTTCATGGGGATGGAGAGAAATGGGGCTGTAAGAGTGATCTTGTCCCCAAAGCAGGATCTCCAATGGCTGATCCTGGTGTAAATGGGATCCACAGGTTCCTCCTAGGGCAGTAAGGGGGGGTTGGATGCCGAATTTGGTGACGGATCATCTGAAAGTGGTGTCTGCAACCGCACAGCTCCCCTCGGAGCAGCATTTTGGGGATGTTGCAGCCCGCTCCGCCCCAGCAGCCAGCCCCCAAATGTCCCAGTAAAACAGTACCTGTCCAGGTGTTGGGTCAGTAGCAGCAGTGGGACACAGCTCCACCTCCAGCTGAACAACCAGACAGCTTTTTGAGTGTTCCCCCAGGATCTCATCAGGTCAGCTCATAGCACCTTCCTAGGATGGATTTGCCCCTAAATGTCAGATTTGCTTCCAGCGACAGATGGAAATGGGGGACAGGGAGAATCCCACCTCGATTCCTCTGCTTGGTTGATTCCAGGAGCAGTTTTCCTAGCCCAAGCTGGCATCAGGCCAAAGTCAGAAGCTTTTGCCTGATGCCAGGGTGCTCCATGGCTCTGCCCTGGCTGGGTGAGCTGGGGTGAAGCAGAGCTGTAGGGCCGCTCCCTTCCTGCCCCAGGCTGCCTCATCCTGCCTGGGAAAAGCCCTTCTCTTGAGGATGCCACTGACTGTCACACTCACACCAGGAGCTACCAGAGCACCCTGAGCCCAGCGTGGCCACCAACCTGCAGCCACCTTGTCCAGGTGAAGGCGAGAAGGAGAGGGCTCAGCTGGCAAAGTCCCTGCACTTCCTTCATTCAAGTGTCACGCTGGGACACAGCGCTCGGAAAGTGGCTTTGCTGGCACCCAGGGGCCACGCAGCTGGGAACACTTGAAAACAAAAGCCAGCAAAATCCAGCCCGTGCTTGGCAGCCTATTTGGCTTAGTGGGAGTTATTTGAAGTTAGCCCAATGTGAGAGCTGGCTCTGCTCCTCCATCCATTGCAGCATGAGGACAGAGGGGAGCAATGGAGCTGGGTTACAGCTCGCTTCTCCTTCCCACACCCTTGGGAGCTCTCCAGAGAGTCATTTTTTGCACAAGGAAAACCTCCTCCCAGGCTTGGATTTTACCATTCTGCACAGTCCACCATGAAACAAGCATTTCATAAAAGAGCCCTATGGTCCCCATGTCCATGCAGCAAGTTAAACAAGGAGGTTTGTCTTTGGGCACAGGGACATCTCTGCCTGTGTGATAACCCCAGCAGCTCCGTGCTACTGCAGCCCCTCTCCCTCAGCAGAAATTCCCTCATTGCCACATTTTCAGTATTTTACCACCAAGGCTCTCAGTCTCTGGGTGCTGCATTAAGTGCTTGCAGTCCCTTGCTTCTGTAGTGGGGACCACATTTAAGTCTCATCACTTCAAGCAACAAATGCCATTTAAATGTCCCCAGCAGAGCGAGGCCGGGGTGAGCTGAGCTGCTGGGACACCTCTCGCTCCTTCCCAGCAGTGTTCTTGCTCTCTACTGCTTCGAGGAGAACAAAAGTTCTTCCTCAGTCCATGTGGAGGAGCTGCTCCAGTTTTTAATTGGATACAGTCTGCTTGCTCCCATGTGGCCACAGGCACTGCTCCAAATCCCGGCTCTGCCTGTGCAGTGTGCTCAGGCCCTCTCCTTGCATGCAACCTGACTCAGCTGCCTCCCTCCAAAGCTGTGCATCCCCCAGAACTTCAGCACTGTCTTTCCCAACAGATGATCCTTTCCACCAGCAAATGCTGCTGCAGAGAACCAAGTCAGGTGCTTTGTTACTGCTGCCATTCAGCACTTTTTCTTGCTGGCTGAGGCGGGAACACTGGCCTGGTATTTCGTGGTTTATTTGCATGACATGCTCAGGTTCAGCCCCACTCTGTTTCTGCTTTTCTTGTAGGTCAGAGTCTACTCATCCCTGTTTGGAGATAAGCAGAAGACAACAGAAATACCTTCCAAGGAAGCTGTGGACTAAGAGGAGACAATACTGCAACTACAACCCTGTGAGTATAGAGCAAAAAGGGGAGCTTCATGCCTCTCATGCACAACTCTTCAGCCCAGTTGACCTTTTTTCCCCCAAAGACCTATGCTGTTGACACATCTTTGCCTGACAAACCCTCAGAAGTCCCAGGTCATTACTGTAGAGACTGTTGCCCCCCCATATTGCTGCAGCTTTGTGTTACAGTTAGCACCTACCTTTAGAAAACAAAAAAAACCCGAGGGCAATTGTCCAGCCCTTTTTCCAACTTGCCACAATTCTTTCCTTATCCTGCTTCTGCCTTCCTGAGCACTCAGTGCTGATTCCAGCTTGATACCATCAGAAGCACTGGGGACTCACTCCCCCTTCCACGACCTCTGCTGCCAGCAGAAGCACCAAATTGGACTTGATGCAAGACTAAAGCCCCTGGACCCTCAAATTAATTCTGCTTCACAGGGTGGGATAATCACTGAAATTAGTTCGAGGTATTTTTTTTCTCCTGATCAGCACAGGCTGGAGAGAATCTGTTACCTGCAAAGTTTGTCCCAAGGATTAGATAAGCTTTTTAGGGCACAGATCCCCAAACTCCTCTTTTTCTTGCAACTTAGAGGCACTATTTGGCAAGAGACAGCAGAGGAGCAACATCCCACATGCTGTTGGTGCTTTCAGGACGCTGCTGTGGCTCCCAGAGTTTATCAATGAACTCCTTGCACTGGAGCAGCAGTTTCCCACAGGCCCAGAGCACCCAGTGCTCTGTAACACCAGGGCACCCACAGCTCTGGCTGCCATCCGGAGGGGAGCAAAGAGAAATCTCATCTAGCAAAGAGAAATAACGTGAGCAGGAGGCGCTTCTGCCTCCTAAGCAGTATCTCCAAATATCTTTAACTATTGCAAAAGCAAGTAAACAATAATAAATATTGTTATCTTGAGGGAGGCTGTTGACACCAACATGCTCGACTTTGCAGGCTGAGTGCTGGCAGGGGCCAAGAGCAGCTCAGCGGAGGGGCAGTCCTGCTGCTAAGGCACTGTGACCCCCTCTGCTCGACTTTGCAGGAGACTCTGCAAGGATAAGGGATGAAGCTGGGCTCAAACAGTGTCTGAGCACTCAGCTGATTCATATTGCAGACAGAAAAAGCTTTCACTGAAGATTTGCTAACAGAAAGTCAAAAGTGCCACCCCAGCAAGGGTTCCGTGCCACCTCTCCCTATGTCTCTTGGCAGTGAAATTTGTTCTTTCACGTTTACTAGTTCTGGCATTCAATGCAAATCAAACCCAACAGAAAACAAGTTTTTGCTTGCTCCTTCCTTTATTTCTTTCCTCTTCCTCCTCCCTGAACTATTTTTTCCTCATATTCCCTCTCCTTCATGAACCAGCAGAACGCTGGGTCTGTTAAGGAATTACACTGCCTTGGTAGAAACCCTGCAAATCTACATAAGCAGAAAATCTTGTCACGTCTCCTCACAAATTGAAAAGGAGAACTAAATGAAATCCCACTGGGATGCTCTGGCTACCTCAGTGCAACAAGGTTCAGCTTAAGATGCTTGTTTCACTTGCTGCATTGCCTGGTTTTAATCCAATTTGGTTCGGGACACATAAAATAGCCGCTTTTCCGCCCTCCAGGAAGCAGCGAGTGCAACCAGAGCAGAGCAAAGTGCTGGCTGGTCCTGCCTCATGTGCACACACCCCAAGCTGTGCTCACTTCTTGGCTCATGCTTTAGCACTACCTTTTGTCATCTGCAACATTTTTGATTGTGTTTGTCAAAATGTCACCTGAGTCACTACCAACCAACAGCTCAAGTGCGACGGTTGGGGCTACGGCAGCAAAGCCCCCGTGATGTGAAGGCCAGGAGCTGGCTGCTTGCTCATCCCCTCTTGGTCACCCCATGGATTACCACAGCCTAACACCAGATCATCTCTGTTAGAGGGAGACATAGAGGACAGCCCTCCTCTGAGAGCAGGGCTCTGACTCCAGCTTCCCCCTCCCCACCAGCCGCCCCTCCGACACCACACCTCCCCAGGGAGCAGCAGGGGCTGCATTGTTTCCATCCAAGCAGCCACCACAGCCAGCTCTGTCCAGCACTGTGCTGTCCCCCAGGCCTGCTTTTACAGGAATTAAAATTAAAAAAGGTGATGCCCTGCAACAGCCTGGAGAGAAAAATGTTAAGAAGTGCCCGTGCACAGCTCCGAGCAAGGCCCAGGCTGCAGGAGCCCCAGCACTGCCTGGCTTTACCTTCACCTCACCCCAGACTCACTGCAGGAACTGCCGCGGGGCCGCCCTGCTCCACAAGAACAAAATCTTCCCAGAGACAGAGGCAGAAATAGCCACATAGCGGCTTCATGCCTAAAACACCAGCAAAGCAGCTCAGCCTCTCATGACAGCTGCCCTGCACAGTGAAGAGACACTGATTTGTTCCTTCCTTCCATCCCAGAACCTGCCCCTTTGACTCCAGACAGAGATGAGCAAATATTTAATTAACACGTTTGACCTTTTATCAGCGCTCCATGCTGATGGCTTCCTGCACACCAGCTAGGTGTGCTTTCCTGCAGCCTGCTGCAAACCTGGAAACAGAACAGCGTTACAAGGTTTCTTCACATATCTTTGAACATTTTCCGAAACTCTGGATTTGAAAACTGAGAACATGAAAGAGTCACCTTCCATTATTATTTTAATAGCATTAAGTTTGTATCTCTTATTCCTGTTGAGTTGTATAGAAGCAGAAAACAAGTGTTACCTAGAAAATCAAAAGTCAAAGGATTCAGATCAAAACATTTTAATTCTTTTTCCTGTGTATGTTTAAAATTTTCCAGATTTCTTGTGGTAAGAGAGGGTTAGAGTTGACTGAACATAAATGATGCCTCAAAATAGCTGAGAACAGAGAGCAGAGAGCATCCTGCTCCTTCTGGTTTAGCTGGCATTACCAGAGACCTCACAATGTCATTCTACCAGCCCTTATTTTCCTGATCATTGTAAAATGCCAAAAATTCTCATGTCAGTGAGTTATTTTCAGTTTACAGGATATGCAGGTGTATGGCCTGACCCCTTCCCTTCCCCTCACCTGGCCAGAGCAGGATGGTTCAGCGAGGATTCCTCATTCAATTAACACATCCATTATTTCAGTCTGAAGCTCAGTGTGACTTGGAGGTAATACAAAGCAGGAGAAACCTCACCTGCATAAGGGAACACTTGGTTATGTTCACAAGACATGCACTGTATGTCACTGAGACCTATTTTTAAAGTACAGCAGCACCAGTTATATTTGATAACTATAAACATTTTATTCTTATATAAAAATATAGGAACAAAATACTATACAGAAAAATATAAAGTTAAGTCGAGATCTTGTCAGTCCCTTTTAAGACAAACAGGCTCACACTGTGCAAGCCCCAGACTTTCAAAAATAAAATTATCCTGGCAGTTGAAGTGGTGGCACGTCCAGAGGCAGAGCTGTGCTGAGGAATAAGCTTCTAATACAGGAAATCTGTCTTGCAGCTTCCAACATCCTTGCAAGTTTGCTTTTGTTACACATAAAATGGAACCCAAGTCCTCCTTCATGGTCTGACCTGGAGATAAACGTTCTCCCACCCCTCAGAGTATTTACAGGAAGGTGCTAAGAGCCCACCTGGCCAGGACACATCCCCCAGGCTGCGACCCCACCCCATGGGCTCACATTGACACAAACCAGTGGCTGCAGCACCCTCACACAAACACAACTGGAACCTCTCTGTCACCAGCTGCGAGCTGGAAACGATGACTTAGGGAGGCAAAAGTCAGTGAAAGCAAGCTGATGAAATCCCTGAGCTTCTACCAGTTCCTCAAAACAGAAAAAAGCCAACTCCCCTCCCCCAGACAACAAAAGCAGCCAGCATTCTTTTCCAAGGTACTGGCTGTTTCAGTACATTCCTGTCTTTAAGGAAGGACACTGTGGACTGCAGCAGCCAACAGTGTAAGAATCATCTCCCTCCTCTTTACCTGTACTTCTCCAGTACTTTCATTTTCCACAACCAAACTGTCCAAGTTTGCTTGCAGATGAAGCAGGAACAAGAGGAGGGAATGGAGAAGGCAGAGAATTAAGGAATTACAGTGCAAATTATATGCTTGTGGGAAAAAAAAAACAAACACAAAAGAAAAAGGTTCTCTGTAGATTTTCCAAGCCTGTTCTCTCCATTGCCTCAAAATAGGGTTGGTCTTTGTCAGGGAATAAGTTCCAACTGACCCTAGACCTTCAACAGAAGGCAGGAGCGTGTTCCCCAAAGCAGTGAACTTGCTGTCACACTGTGTATCAGCAATGCCCGAGAGATGCAACATCACCACCTTTTCATCACCCACTAATCACGGCAGGACTCCACCAGAAAGTGCAGTGGGAGTCTCAGGTCTTCACGTTCCTCTTATATTATTCATTTGTAGCAGAGATTTGCAAGTCCCTGTGCTGTATTCACAGTGGAAAAAAAGTGCAGCAACACATGTTGGAGACACTCCAGGAATTATTGCTCTGCTGAGGCAGCTTGTGGAGCCTGACTAAAGAAAATTGGCCAAAGAAGAAATAAGGGCAGGCCTAAAGAGGAAGACAGAGAAAGAAAGGAATTGCTCCAGGCACCAACACATCCTAGTTCCTGCCTACTGCCAGAAAGGTGCTGTAATGGATCCTGTCTCCTGTAAGCAGCACAAGCAGTTGTGTAGGGTTGATCAGCAGCATATTTGGACAGTCTGTGGCAGGTGTTGGGACAGTTCACTGCCACCTGTAGATATTCACCGCCTTCTCTGTCAGAGTAGCCAGGAGGTGGGTTTGGTTCACTTCCAAGGGGCAGATATCCAGCACAGGCAGGTCAGCTGGCAGCTTCTGCAGCAAGGAACCACTTCCAGCATCCCAGAGCTGTGGGAGGGACAGACAAGGTCAAGGACTGAAGGATTCTCCCCTCCCATCCAGAAGAGACCTTCCTCTCTCCAGAAAAGACTTTCCTCAAATTACTTACAGGACCCTTTCTCTACTTCCACACCTTGCTTGGATGGTTTTTAACAGAATCACAGCATGATGCCACCACAGCCACTCTGACCCCACTCATGAGCTCTCCTCCTCTTCCCTGTCATTCCTAAAGAGCCTGCATCCTTCCCTCACAGCACTTACCTCATTAGCTACCCCACCAAGTCTGTTACACCACTTAGAGTGCCCAGTTGTGCCAGTGTGCCCAACCCCATTCCTCTGGGGGACAAGAGGGGCTCACTGCCTACGCACTTTTCAATGGATGGGGACCACAGGCCTTGGCTAAGATCGAGTCCCATGTTATCAGGAAGTTACACCTGCTACAGAAGTACAACACACCAACCAGCACAGGGTAATGTCCATGGCAAGACAATTCCCACCAAATCACACTGATGCTGTGACTGATGAGGCTTCTCTCCTATGAATTGCAATAAACCCCTCCAGCACACTGAAAGGAGCAAGAGATACCAGGGCAGAATTGGACGCCTCATCACCAGCACACACAAAGACGCTCCCGTCATCCTCCGGGCTCTGGAAAATGGCATTTTTGGTCAGCAACTTGCAGGTGGGCCCAGCACTGAAAGTCTGAACCGGGTTAGAAGAACACACCACATCTTCAGAGGCCTCTGTCAGTGGGCTGCAAGTCAGTTCCATCATCACACAACGCACACATGGGTTATTTTTACCTGTGTGGTAGAAATACAAAGGTAACCTTTGGAAAATGTACTCACAGATAGGCTTCAGCTGTAGGAATACAAGCAGCACCACCCTGCAGCTGCCTCCTTTCGCCCTCCCCCAGTTCTTATGTATGTGCAAATGCTCATTGCTGTGCTGGGGGCACATGCTGCATTTCTGCTGTGCCCCCAAGCTGGTGCTGAGCTGAGCCCCAGCAGTGAGTGGCACTGAGAGCCCTGCAGAGCCCCCCGTCCGTACCAGGCCTGTACGTGGCCAGGCAGTGCCGTGTGTTGATCTCAGTTTGGATATCGATGCAGCCCCCGGGCTCCAGGGGCAGGTGATGGGGCCGGTAGGAGTTGCCAGCTCTCTGTTCCCAAAAGCAGGCTCCTTCCAAGGTCCCAGCCAATATCCCGCCGTAGGGCAGCGACGCCGAGGCCATGCGGGGCAGGTAGGACAGTGACACCATGGGGCACCTGCAAGGGGGACAGGCAAGAGTCAGTGCTGCCAGCTGCAGCTCTGCTGGCATCCTGCTCGCTGCTGCAGAGCTCCAGCCTCTCCAACTGCACAGCAAAGAAAGGGCCTAAGCAGGCTCTGAGATGGTCCTTCAAGCAAGGAACCCCAGTGGCATGTCAAGTATAAATGGAATTCAACTTAACTACCGAGCCTTAGGTTTTACAGAGCATTAGACAGCACACATCAGATGAGTGCAAATCAGTGTTTGATTCCTGGAGTACAAGAGACAGAAGTAGCAGAATCTCACACCTTTGTGTGATTTGTCCTTCCAATTAAATACTAAACCCAGCTCCAAAACAAATTCAATTCTCCTGCTTACGCTGCACCAGTGGGTCCATTTCTGACCTATGTGTGCCTTAAAAAGAGCACAAGTGCTTGGCACCTGTGAAAGTTACACATGATACATGTGCTAAATGTGAATTTTTGAACAAGAGTTTCACATAAACCAACTAAACCCACTGCAATTGCTGTGTGAAGCTGTGTTTAAGTTAATGCATATAAGTTGAGAGGAATGACAAATCCTTATGCCACACCTGGACTTCTGAGGGACCAGTTCTTGGACGTGAGAGTTGGTGTCCCTCAGATCATATATCATGATAGAGCCATTGACCAATCCAGCGTAGACATAGTTTGTATCATCGAGACACCAGCAGCAGCTCCAGACAGGACGGCCAGCATTGTATGTCTGCACCACAGTGTTGGTTGCCAAGCTGCAGAAGAAAAGCAAAGTGTTGGCTGGTTGCACAGGCATCTACTGATGAGAAAAAAGCATAATTAAGGTAAGCAAATCTAGCTTTTTAAAGTCTTTAGACAGAAGCATCTCTCTTTAGACCGAATTCTCAATTAGCTCCTTTACTCCAGATGTGAATCTGGAAAATCTAAACAGAATAATCCCTTGGATATTGTCAAGTGATTTATAATTCTTCCAGGCCAATGCTTCTTTTTCCAGATTGATCTTTGGAGACTGGGAGAGGAAATCTCACAGCAGGGTCTCAGCTGCCTTACTGGCAAGAGAAAGCTAAGTTACTTTTCTGGAAACAATTAGGAGAAGCGACTCTGGTGTGATCCCGTAACACCGTGTATTCCTGAGATCACAGGGCTCATCTCTTCAGATTACATCTCTCATTAATTACTTCCCCTTTTTTTACACAAGAGGAACAGTGCTTATGCCTCAAAAGAACCAATTTAAGCAAGAGTGAGACAGGGAGTGGGTAAAGGACAGTTGAGAGCACATTTATTCTGTTAATTCTTCCTTCCACAAGTCGAGTTTCTAAAAAAGAGAGGAGTACATAGAGGGGCATAACCCAGAACAGCAGATGAAGCTGGTATCAGATCAGGGATTTGCAAAGGGCAGCATTGTCAACATGGGTTTTGCACACTGAGAACAGCATGAGACAGAAGACAGCACATATCAAAGTAACTCTGGATATCCTTTACAACACAGGGGCTTCTCCCTGGGGAAGGTGATTACACTCAGGACTCCAGAGAAACAAGTAATTGCTCTCAGGTGAGTATAAGGGGAAAAACTACAAGGACAAAACTGAGCTGGGGAAAGAGAGAGTTGATATCAGAGAAGTGACTGGGTCAAAACAACAAGACCAAAAAAAACCCAAACAAACTCACAGTGCTATTTTAAACAATTGCAAGCCAGAGCAGGAGACATAAAGACATCTTGGATAATTCTTTTTCATAGGATGACTATGAAATGAGTAACTAGAGAAGAAAGATAACCAAAGGAAGAATATTCTTTCAGAGACTGAAAAAAGTATGAAGATGCTGCTGAAGCAAGCACCTAACTCCAAGACATCCTGGGATCAAGCACAAAAGCAAGAGGATCACAAGCTCAGATGCAGCCAACCAGGCAGTGAGAGGCAGATATGGGAGTCAAGTGTCTGAGCAGACACTGCAATGAGGAACCACTCTCCAGATTAAATCATGAAAAGAATATCATCGTAATCAGTTGGAAATGTGACACATTGACTTCAGCATCAGAGGCAGCTTTGTTTACTTTTAACTAGTCTAGCAAACATTTCAACATGGTCACAGGAAAGCAACATTCTGTACATTTTTGCTGTGGGATTAAGTTCTCTTCATTGCTTCACTAGTGAGAAAGAATTGGGACTAATCAGTCAAACAACAGACACCTATCCTGCCCAACCTGACACGGACAGACAGATTGCAAAGATGTTAATTTAACTCAATAAGAATCAATCAGCCAATGAAGCTTTGAAGCAGTGTAAGATTAAGATTGAAGAGCAGCAGAGTAGCAAGAAAACACACTCATAGGCTGTAAATTCTATCAGGACCGGACACATTTTTGTCTCACTCTCTGCATAATTAGTCTCCAACCTGCTGGTTTAAGTCTCTGCTAGCTCTAGAGAGCCTCTAGCACATGCTGTTTATGAGTTTCATATCCCAGATGAATTCCATGCTCTGCAAGAAGTTTAAAATCTGAGAAGCCAACATCAGGCTGTGCAAAGAAGAACAGAGCACAGGCTAAACACCTCTTGTTTCTGTACAAACACCTCTCTTTATGCCGTACAAGTTCCTACACTTCACATTTCCCTGCAGTAACAGAAAGCCATGTGGACAGTAAATTTCATGTCTATACATTATGCTACATTTATTCTCTCCACAGCTTGGCCAATCCATGCTAAATTCCTTGTTCTCCACCGAGTTCTCCACAGGAAAACTACTACAGAGGGGCAGCTCCATAACACCTCCACCTAAAAGATGCAAAACCGTCAATAAGTCCTTCCCTCTGTTAGCTCCCACATGCAGGAAGAATACCCAGACCTGCTCTCATCTTTGCAGCATCTTTCAGAAAGCAGACTAGCAAGTGCTGCAAGACATTTCTAGCAAGACAGAACAAAATCCAGTGCAGCCAAAGCCCGTGGGGACAGGGCTCACCTGGTGAGTTTGAGAGTTCCATCCAGAGCAGCCGAGAGCAGCAAACCATCCGCTCGAGTGCCGAAAGCCAGGCCCCGGATCTGCTTGCTGTGGATGGGGACGTACTGACTGCTCTTCAGGTTGGCCAAGCTCATCATCTTAACACCACAACCTGCCACAGAAGAAGGACAAAGCAGGTCATGGTGAAGCAGCACACACAGGACTGGCTGTTCTGTGCCAGAACTGCAGCGTCTGTCCTGTCTGAAGCCTGTGGTGGGATGAACACATAAAAGTTATTTGCTGTTCTGGAAAAGAACAAAATCATTCTTTAATTCAAATGGTAACAAGGCTAAATCCTTAAGGACCCCAGCCACCAAGAGCAAATTCAGTATCAGTGTTACAATTCCTGTTACAAGGCCTGCTGCTCTTTAGGCAGCTTCTTCAAAGACACTCTTGCCCAGATAAAACCACACAGAGCAGGATTACATGGCTATTAAAGAGAACAAGTGTCACAGCGAAGAATGGTTACAGGTGAACTTAACCTGCATGCTACAAGAGTCACCACAAAGCCTCCATTCATTCATTCCTTGGCCTCGAATGCCAGAAAAATAAGACCAGTTGAATGCAGAAAACCACTTTGTTCTGCCTGGATAAGGCACGTTAACCTCAAACCCATTAACCAAATAAAGTAAGTTTCATCATTCAGAAAGCATTTTGCAAATAAACACTCTCAGACTCCTAATGCCACATCCATTGCCCTGAAAAAGCAACTGGCGCTGGTCCAGATGTCAGGTCACTGGCCCCTGGACATAACAGTGAGACAAAACCAGGGCTGCCCATGACTTCTTGGCTTCCTATCTCCTCTTTAGAAAACAGTGCTCCTAGCATTCATATTAAAAGGGTTTTGCTTTTGGGTTTTTGTGGAGGTTTTTTTGTTGTTGTTGTTTTTTGGGGGTTTTTTATGAGTATTGAGAAATTAGCTGCATGTGGATCAATCCACCTACAGTTAGGGGAGCAGTGTTTCTCATTTAACCACTGGAAGCTTCTCTGCTTCTTTCAGAAGACTCACCTTTGCACAGAGTACCAGATACATGTTTTGCCTTCTTGTGGATATGGCACTCCAGCAGGAGAGCCAGAGACCCTCTGCTAGGATTCTGCCATAGAACTGCCAGGGGAAAGGAGCTTCTTTGCTAGGCAGAAGCTACTAATGCAGGGGCAGATGAATTAGGGGGAGTGTTATGAGTGTACTCATAAGTTTACAAGGCACGTGCAAAGGTCAAGCAGAGAAGTAGGGAGCAACAAAAAAAGACATTTAACTTTCACTTATGAACCTCCAAATCTTAACTTGCTTAATTACCAGGAATGAAAGTAGACTGTGGAGAAGGCTGTGACACCACAAGGCAGCTCATGGAGTCACAGTATGCCATCACTCGGCAGTTCCCAGCCTGAGACACCAAGAGAACCTTTTCCAGGTGGTACTTGCGCTGGCTCTGGCTGGAGGGGAGGCTCCCTGGGAGGCAGGGCCGGGAGCTGCCGGGTTGCTGCGAAGTGCTCACGTTGTGCTGGGCCACCAGAGCCTTCAGCTCCTGCAAAGACAAAACCCCGAGAGCTTGAATGCGTCACCAGCGACGTAACCTGCCGTGCTACCTGCTCCAGAGGCTCCAAGTGTACTTGTTCTCAGACAAAGGGGGGGAAATATGGTCCCATTTCCATGCTGTTCCTGAAGGGCTGCATTTCTAAGCCTGTGGCCTGTGACAGTGAGCAACAGAAGCACTCAAATGCTACGCAAGTCCTGGCAGAATGTACTCAAAGTCTGTTGTTGTGTGTATTACACCCTGTGAAAGAGAGGACTCTTGGGCAACACATAAAAGCCGGTACCAATTACCAGATCAATGCTGTCTAGAAGAGAATGAACTGCCAAGTATTACGTGCTGCTAAACCACAAGAGAAAGTCAATTAAAACCATTTTCCAGAATTTCCAGAATACCCCATAAAAAAATAAAAGCCCGAGTTTCAACATAAAGGGCATTGCAGGAAACAAGTCAGTCTATTTAATGACGATGATCCTGTTCTTGTAAACCCTGGGCAGCAAATTCCAGGAATGACACAACTCTCAAGAGCTCCAGTCCTGTTTTCCACCACCTCCTCCCCCCTTCTTCCTCCACCTCAACTGATGAATGCTCAAGGATGCTCAGCAAAGGCATGGCCAAGAACAGCTTCCACGAGCAGCAAGGTATTCCTTGAATTCCCTTTTCCACAGAGATCATCAGGGGGGAGGTGGGAATTCAGGTAGTGGCACTGACATATTGTGAGTCACCTAAAAGTGCACCCTCCCCAAAAGCATTTTGACCATCTTTTATCCAAGGTCAAAACAAGATGGTACAGAACCCCAGGGACATTTAGGACAGAGGGTATATATAAAGAGAATTGCTACTTGCTTTCTGTTGTCTGAGCAATGCAGATTAGGCTTCAAACACTATGTAATCTTTAAACAATTAAGGGCCACAAGAGTGATATTATGAATATATCAGTAATTGCAAGTCAGCCTCAATACTGAACCAGCCACCACTGCTTAACTCACATCGAAGCAGAGGCAGCAGTTTTCAAAGAGGCAAGATCAAAGATCAAGCTCTACATTAATAGTTATCAAGACCTATAACTTTTGGAAACTGCTCAAGAGGAGAGCAATTCTGACACCTTACAGACGTCTGATCTGCTTTGCATCAAGCACATTGCAAATTCCTCAAGGGAACATAAAAATTAAAAACAAAATAAAAATTGAAGCTGAAGTCTTGAGATGATCCCATTGGAGTGAGCAAGACAAAACAACCTGGGCAAGGAAGAAGGGCTGTGGGGGTTGCCAGGATGCTTAAGATGGGAGCTACAGCTTCAGGCTTAGAGTAAGCACTCAGTGAAAACACAGGTAACTTAGAAGAAAGTTACTTTTAATCAAAAATTTAATAAACTCATTATTTCTAAAAGGGGGATGGAGGCAATCACCACTGAGGATCAGAAGAGATTAAAATTATTTGTTCCTCTGGGGACCTTATGAAACTCTCCTTGTCACCTGCACTCAACATTCAACTTTTACACAAGTTATTAAAAAGGAAACCAGGCAATTAAAATCACAAAGACTATTAGTACAATGTTTACATTTAAACACAATGGACAAACCCAGCAGAATCAGGAAGTCTGACTGGAAGCGCATTACCAAGGTGATTAAAAATGCTGCACTCCAGACGAATTCCACTAATTGTGCTCAAAAGAACGTTCTGTTGGTAACATAAAGCTACACCTTCCTTCAGATGCTTTGCAGAGTTTTCCTGATGCCCGGTGTTAACTAAGGACCTTGAGGGCAGACTCCACTCTCTGCACATGCTATGACTGTCTCTAAATTTCAGCTTGCCCTTGCAGTGATGAATGAACACAGTCACACAGGTGGGGAAACAAAAGGCTGTACAGCAGAAGTCTTCCTGAGGAGCGTGCATGAGAAGTAGAAGCAGGAGAGCACAACGAATAGGAAAGGAAACCCACCAGCTGCAATAAATTCAGAACAGTTTTGAGTGTTAGGTTACAGCCTTAATAGCTGATATGAAGCTTTAAAGACTAAGGCAGGTATCAGATGTCACTCTGGCTGTCTCCCACAGACCTCTTAGAGAGGCCACACCTGCCACCTCGGCTGCACAGCCCCAGTCCTGCACCAAAGAGAGAGAAACACAGGGCAGGACAACCTCCAGCTGTGGTGCAGCACTGCAGCCATCCCACCTTCCACCTTCCTTTGGGGCTCAGGTTCAGATTCAGGCTAAGGGACGTGGAGCATTTTTACCTGGCTTAACTACAAGCAACAGCAATGAAATATCAGCTTTTACTACCCCAGACATCAACTGGAGGTGAACACAAAGATCATAGAGATGAACAAAACCATTAGCCTAATTTCTTTTCTAGAGGTATTAGATACACAAGTTTTTATTGATATTTTGCCATCCAATTTTTTTGGATGCTCTGAAAATCCTATTTTAAAAATGCTTTTCCATTACATTGAGCAATATAAACTAATCTCTGCAAGGCTCACAATTACATTTGCTTTCTTCTCCACAGCAGCCTGCAGTCTCCTGTTGTTTCCCTGCTAGTCATCCCTTTCCTGCTCCATATCCAAACAGAGCTACTGTTTCCCACTTGCAAAAATGAATCTCCTATCCCAGTTGATCAGTGGTATTAATGCCAGAAGCCAGAGATGGTTTGCTGATCATTAGCTAACTTTTACTGGAAATGTTGGCATATTCAGGAGTCCTGCAGTAGCTCACATCCGGTTCCCAAGTTCTTTCTGCTGCCAAAGGAAAAACTTTAGGTAAAAGTAAGGTGTCAGTAGCACTGTTTCCAAAAGGCAAGCCTGAACCTGCCACACAGGATGCAGAACACAGCTCAGCACAGCCCACACTCCAGGTTTACATATGGAAACACTGCTGAGGGCTTTCTTCCAGAGCTTTAGTTAGCTACCTCCCCTCAACTTCCTTTCCTCATATATTTTCATATAGCTAAAGACTTAAAAACCACCCATGTCCTAGTGTCAATCATGTTAAATACCTCAATAACAAAGCACAGTGGACAAGATGGTTAATGGACAAGAGCAGTGAAAAACACACACAAATCTAGGAAAAGGTCACAACTAGAGCCATGACTGCTGCTGGGGCACAGCTCAAGAGCACTGGCAAGAAAAAAGGGTTCATGATGGCTTTTGAGGGGAGTCCACACCCTGAGCAACCCAACCCTACACTGGAATCACCCCACTAGAGTTGGGACAGAAACCTCCAGGAGTCCCTCCTAACCTAAATGCTTCTGTGCAAGTAGTTTCTTTACTACATGACTTCTCATAAAACAAGGAATTCATTAGGCACATGCTTAAAATATCATTGAACAACTTAGACTTATTCCAGACTTCCTGCTGATTTTTCTTTTTGCTCCCCAGCAAATTGTTTTACTTTCAGTTTACTCATAGTATAAATAAGCACCTTAAAAACTGCTTCCAGCATTGGCATTAACCACTACAGGACAGTGATGAATGCAGTATAAATACTGAAACAGAGCTTACAGAACACAGGGTACTTAATCTTTATAACATGCGACTTCAACTCAGTTAGACTGGATACTCTATCATTTAACACCAAATGAATTGCAGGAGAACATTATGGACCTGCACTTCTATCTTATTCGCATTTTTCTTAAGCCAAAGCTTGAAGTGGACCAATTTTCTTATTAGTGCTGATGAGCATACAGCTCCATGCAGGAATTTAGGTGATTTATAAAGCCTTATCTTACATCAGGCAGGAAAACATCAGCAAAGAGGATGGTGTTTAATGTACAGATATGAATAGCCAAGGCTACAAAGAAATCCATGAGTAAAGAAAAGCATAATATTAAGTGGGTCACTAGACAGTGAGAGAATAGGTATCATCTACTCATATAACTAAAGGTAGCAAACTGGCAATGAAACAGGCTCATGGAAAACTCAGCACTGGAGGAACACGCCAGCTAATGCCCACTTGGCAGCACCAGCATAGTCCACAACTTATAGGAATCCTGCAAAAGCAGCTGGGATGGGTTACAAAGTACCTCAGTATTGCACAAGCCAGAAAGGAAGCAGTTTAGCAACTGGTCATTTATTGTTAGTAATTTGCATTCTAAGAGGGCAGAGGTGCCTTTCAGCAGCTGCTCAGTCCGTGCATACAGCCTCCCCTACTGACAGGCCAGCTCCCAGGGGACCAGAAGGTGCTGAACTAGAATGTTGACTGACTCTCAAAAAAAAAAAAAAAAAAAAAAATTAGGTGTTTTTTTGTTTTGTTTTCTCTTGATTTTGCAAATGCACACCTCTTGACAAATTGCTTCTCAAAAAATTATTCTTGAGAATAATTACTGATAATAGGTCCTATTACAGGTTTACTGTAGAGATTTTTCAAAGCTTCTTTTGATGCAACTACAAGAAAGATGAGGAGAATAAGTCTGGTTCTCCATTACCAGGCCTTTCCAGGCACCACAAAACCTGAAGAGGATCCTGCAACATCAGCAGCCAAACAACTCTACTGCTAGGCTGCAGCTTCAATTAAGTCTTAAAATGCACAAAAAATAAGTCACTGTTATGTAGCACATACCTCAATATGCCAACCTGAGATATTCACCAGCCCGGGATGATTCACCAGCTGAGTTTACTAAATCTTTCTGCTCATTAAAACTGGAAGCCTGTGTTTTCTCCTCCAAGGGAACGTGCAAAACCAGGCTGAAGCAAAAGGGAATCCTTTGTGTATAAATATCCTGAGACTCACCTGAACTTGCCTGCGGAGTTTGCTGCATTCATCCGTCAGAACCTGGAGCTGGAGACGGCTCTGCGCAGATTCCAGCTCCGCCTGTCTCCGCAACATCTTCTCCTTTTCTAAAGAGCTGGAGGAAGAAGAGAAAAGCAACCCTTAGGACTAGGTATTATCCAGGATGCTCCTTTGGGCTGTCAACACCTGTCCTCTGACTTCATCCCAGCTGAAGTCCTGTTCAGGCAAATCCACAAGTGACAGAAAACCTGGTACCACACTCATCCAGCACCCTCACCTCGAGATGTGCAGTTATGCAATTGTTCTGAATGACTCACTCAAGTATTGTTCCATAGGAACAACAGGCTTTCTTCTCACCATCTTCAAAAGTACTAATTTAGTAGAGGAGAGTGAAAGAGAAATCAGGTTTTCTTTCCCCTAAGAAACACTTCAGCAAATCCTATGTCATCAGTGTCCACATAATACACTGTGTCAGTAATAACAGAAGTCAAAACACAGCAAGATTTTCAAGCTTGTCTCTACTATCAGTAACTAATCTTGTACTTCAAGAAAATATAACTGTAACAGAAACAGAATGATACAGAGAAATTCTCTGTGAATACCCATTTATAAATAAGCCACACCTACCACCTCACCTTGAGCCTAAAAGTGCATACACACCATTTAGCAGCAGCAGTTTTGCTAACTTACTTGAACTCCTTTTTCATACAGGCTTATATGAAGGGATAGTTAAAGAAGAGGAAGAAACACCAGTACTCCTTAAAAATAGCTGTACATTTAGACTATAATGTTGACCACTGCATTCTGCACTTTAAAAGCTGCAATATTCCAGTTATTTCAGTAGTTCATGTGCAGGGAGCTGTTGCTTGCCTAAGTATTTTCCAAATGCACAGACCTAGCCTTGCATGTTCACAAAGCACAGAATTCTGTCATTTCCATATGGCTTTTTCATGTGATATTTTTCCTGCAGAAGAAACAACTGAAATGCTGTATTTAAGCATCACAAACACATTCTTTACACAAGTACCCAGGGCCTGAAGGCTGGTGGTTTTTACTGAATGTGAAGAACAAACCCCACGATCTTGTACCTAATTCAAGGCTACATGCAAACAATACTGATGCATGCACACACACATCCCTGCTCCAGTCATGGCTGGGTGCCACCAAGCAGCCACTGCCAGCAGCTCCATGACCCACAGGCAGTCACTGCTGTCTGCCTCACAACAAAAACAGGAGGCAGAGGAGGGGCAGGGCAAGGGGGAAGGGCTGCAGCGAGATTGAGACACAAGCAGCAGTCAGACGACTGGCTCTCCAGGAGAGAGAAAATGTAAACACCCAAATGCCTTCTGTGCTTTTGAAAAAAATCTTATATGTTGTTTATTTTCCAGTGTCAATCCAGTAAAAGCAGCGTGACCCTTCTAAAGGTACAGTTGAAACACCATCGGGCAGTGTCAATCTGGACAGAAGAGAGATTTTTGCCTTCATGACCCTTACTCCTCAATCACTTCTGCTCAGTAATTACCAGGATACTGAGGTTTCCATTGAAAGACTGCCTTGAAATAACAGTGGTATAGTTACAGACACGTGAAGAAACCCCAATTAAAATCTATTCACCACAAGATTCAGAAGAACTCTGATATCTGCAGCCTTTAATTTCAGAACAGTATCTGTGACAACATCTTACTGAAAAAAATTCATCCCCTGCTTTTTCTTTTTTCAATGCAAAGTCTACATTTAAGTTGGAAGGGGAAGTAGAGTCATAGTTATGCTTGCTGACCTTTTGTAAGTAAAGCTACATGAAGAATTTGACAAAGCAAGATGGGAAGTGATTCATATGAGTGACTACTCTGTTTAATGTGTGCAGAAAAGATGGCAGAAAAGGTCAGCTATTCACCCCTTGCATTCCCAACTATGCCTCGCTCTTCCCACCTAATGATGAATTAGCAATATACAGCTTTTTGGCATCAACTCTGCATGTCCTCCCATGATAACATTTCAGGATACAGCCCAAGATAGCTTTTGCTGTTTCAGGGCCACAAAATGCAAACTTGAGAATTCTGTTCCAAAAGAAAATTAAGACAGGTGCAACACAGCAAGGCCTTGGGTTTTTTTTTTAAGCCAGCCATACTCCTGCTAAACCTCGAGGGAATGCACAAATTGCTTTAGAAGACAACAGAGGAAATTAAAGCATGAAGCAGAAGCCAGAGTGCAGCTTCCAGTACCTTCTCATGCGCTCCTGCTCACTGGTGTCCAGCGCCTTCAGAGTGCGGGCGTACAGGACCACGATGTCCGAGCGCTTGGCTTTCTTGTTGCACTGAAATAAAAGACAAGCTCAGGTCACCTACAAGAACTTAACTATTCAAACTGTGCATCCCTAGCAAAATTTTTGGTTAAATCCTTATAGCTTTGAAGGGAGGGGGTGTCTACTGGACGACGAATCCACAAACATTTACACGGCGTGTTTGCAAGACACTCGCCCAGACAGACACCAGAGCTCTAGTCAGGGCTTCACCAGTAGTTTAGGTCACATATCCTGTTGCACCTTTAATAATCCATCTCCTTGCTTCCCATTAAATTTATTCTGCTAACACACCAGCAATGCAGCATCGTCAGGTAAGTTCCTGGGATGAAATAAAACAAAATCAAACAAAGACAGGGGAAGAAAAAACATCTAAACCAAAACACCAGCCCAATCCCTGGTTTGAAAACACCAAGACGGGCTGTTTGTCCAACAGACAAGGATTTAGGAACCCCTGAGCACACTCCCAACTCTGTTATTTCTGTACTAATCAAACCCTACAGGCACAAATACATAAAAGCATTCCAGTGTGAGCATGAAACACTGACATCCCACTGATTTCAGTGACACACGGGGAGTCAGATATTTCAATTATTTTGTGCATCTAGCTGCAATGATTTAATACTTTAGATTCACCTTAAAAAGAAGAAATAATAATACTCCCCTCTCAAGTCAGGAACTGCAGATGCCATAATTTCCTCCAGGCTTACTGTTTCACAAATACACTTTGTTGATCGGAAAAGAGGCGGTGAATACTTAGATCAAGTAACCTCTGCTGAACATTAAATTACTATGTGTGCTTCAAATGCAGACTCCTCTATTATTTAGTAGCACGAAGATATCACAGGCAATAGTTTCAGATCAGACAACCCCCCTCCCTTCGTAAAGAGCTGCCTTGCAGAGCAGTAAGTGGCTAAGACAGTTTTCCTGGCAGCCAGCAGCTGTCACTGGCAGGAGCAGGAATGCTGCAATTTCACAGTAACTTGCACTCAAGCCACTTAGTATACAGAGCACCATGCCCAGCAACTCTGGGCTATTCAACCAGAGAACGCCCAGTCACAAAGGACAGCGACTGAAAATGAGGGGAAGGGGATTTTGCTGCAAGGTTCTCTCCAGAGTAAGTTCTCCCAGGAATTTTTTAGTAATTATATCACTGGAAGAGAAAGAGGGAGCAAGCACCCCTTGTGAGCTGTTAGGGTTCAAGAAGAAAGCAGTCACAAATTTCCAAAGACTAAAGATGTCAGGCAGGTCTCTGAGAGTACTCTCTGGGCCTGGAGTGGGGAAAGAAAAGCTTACACAGAATTGACAGGGATAAGAAAAATCAGCTTTGGGCCTTCACTATGGCAACAGTGATTCTTTAGGTTTAATCACAATGCACATCAGTAGGAAGTTTCTTGTTGAGAGAAGGGAATCCTGCACAAAGTCAAGCAAGAATACAGAAGCTCTCAAAATGACAAAGCCAAAGAAATCCTGGGCTTCCAGCCACCAAGTCGGAAAAAGGCAGAACTGAATCCTATTTACAAGGTACTCATTGACCTATTTTTTGTCAACATTCCTTTCTGGAGAAAGCATGTCACAGACAGAGAAGTGCAGACCTCATCGAAAGAGATTAGTATTAACCATGGAAAGCAAGCTGAAAAGAGCACCTTCAAAAGTTGATTTACCACTTGCAAGTGGACATTAAAGGATGCAACTTAGTTCTCAGTTCACTTTCTGCAAGTTTCCTAAACAACCTGGTCCTCCTAAAGGCTGCAAAAGCAGATCAGTTAAAACAGAAGATTAACCAACTGAAAACTAGACTTTAAAGTCCCTTCCAACCCCAACCATTCTGTGGTTCTAAAACAGTTCTCAGACAGATTTCTTGTCCAATAACATATTCTCTAAGGTGAGTTAATTGCTTCTAAGAATCTGCTGCTTCCACTCCGGGTGGTCCTCTCCAGGTCTTTAGTGGGGTGTTATGAAACCATTTACAGGTTTAGTACTTGCAGTCTCAAACTTCTGCGTCTCCTACTCACAAATGCTCTACTTCGGGGAGAAAACCCAAGTCATAACTCATCCTTTAAAGCAGTGCTAGTTGTTCCTGGCCTAGTAACATCAAAATAATGGTGGGGTTTGTTATTTCTGACAGCAGCTTCACACAGCAAGCAGCTGTACCAGTTAAGGGTGAGTGCTCCTGCAGCATAATGTACCCAACAGCAAGTGCTTTCCAGTGCACATTAATGCCCATTTTACCTGAGGGCACTTCCCTGCCTGCCCCTTGAGCCACCTCTCAATGCAGGTGTAGCCAAAGAGGTGCCCACAGCGCAGTGCTGACAGCCGGTGCTCCCCGGCGTTGGTCCACTGCTCAAAGCAGATGGCACAGGTGTCTCCTTCCTCCTCATCCAGCCGTGCTGCAGGAACTGAGGGCTCCACTTCCTTCAGAGGAGTTCTCTAGGATTAAAAATTAAAAAAACAACTGTTTTAGAAAGTGCAGCATTTATCATATATCACCTCTCTCCAAAAGCTTTTAGTTCACCTTACCTGCTTTTGCTGGACTTCAGCCTCTTCATCTTCCTGACCTCCATGTTCTGCAGAAGCTTGAGACAAAGCTTGAGGCAGCTCTGCTTGGGCCTGACTGGAAGCTAAAGAGAGCATTGCTTAAATGAACTGATACCTTATGGGAGAAAAGGAGTTCTCCTGCTTTGATGTGAAAGCACTGGGGCATGGGTTAAGCAGTGCAACAACAGCACAGGTTACATACAAAGTTTGACATCAGTGCCCTGGACACTGTCTGTGTGCAAGCCCTTCTACACATCAACAGTAGTGCTAAAGAACTTTATATTTTCTTTTACAAAAAGCAAGAGAATTTCAGTGAAAAAGGAGAGGTCTTCAAAGGACAGCAATTGCTATTAGAATTTTCTGATCTGCATGAAACAGAGCTGGTCCATAGTCAGGCTCATTTAAGGTTATATCCCTGCATCATTACACCCTGAGAAAGACAGACACCAATATTCAGAAGTTGCTTTGCCAAGGGATCTAAGCACGCATATTTCATGTGCCAAGAAAGCATTTCCTGCATGCTGGCTGTCCGTTCACTCTGACTTAAGCAGTTTTCCAGCTGGTAATTGTCTGAACTACCAATTCTGCTGGGCTGTGTGTTTTTGTGCTGGGCTCTGTCAGCCTGTCTGTTGAGGCATGGGTGCATAAAACTATGTGTGGATCACCACCACAAACATACTGGAAAGGGAGCAGAAATCACTGCCTCCCCTCTAGCTCCTGATCAAACAAGAGTTATTAATCACATTTAGTAATCAAGGCAGATATTTTCAATGCAGTGGAGGTATCCCCTAACCCTGGCTAATGTCAATAAAGTTTTCAGCCTCTGCAGTTCTGGGCTGTAAGAGAAGCCAGTGGCTTATATAAGCAACAAGGGAATTCCAGAAAATCCAACAGAGAGCATATGCTCACACAATATTGTACAGCACTTAACAGCTTGAGCTCCTGTCACATGTAAGACTAGCCCAGAATGGATCTGTTCAGAATACACCTCATAGATGTACCCTTACAAAAAAGGTAACAAGGTGGGCTGGCCAATTAAAACCAAAAGTGAAGGCAGAGAGTGAATCATAAGGACATTTCTTAGAGACTGAAGTAAAAAAAAAATAACCTTGCTCTTGTATTCTCTGGGTATCAGTAACCTTGACTAACAAGTAAACTATTTGTCACTCTTACATAAACTGTGCATGTTCACCACAAACAATGTCACTGAAGTGTGTGGCAGGCTGTGAACATGAGTTTGGATAAAGAATTGTGAGCCAGAAAAAGATGAGGAAAGAAAAAGACGAAAAAACCAAACCACACCTCCATCTCCTCAGCTAAGTGTCACAAGAAGTTACAGGAATGTAAAAGAAAACTCTAAACCAGAGCAGACTAAAATCTCAAATAATTAAATACTGAATCAGACCCTTCTCTGAAAGCACTGCTGATCTCCAAACTGCGACCTGATGTCTTCAATAATGCTCCTTGATAATATATAACAGTGGGAACATGGCAAGCAATAATCTCCAAATTTGAAGTTATAAATAATCCTGGAAATGTCCAGAATAAGTAGCAGCCTGAAGACAGCAAAAAAGATTGTATCTAACACTACAGTAGCAATCACCCACTGCTGCTGCTGCTGCTCTTGGGAACTGCTTGCCAGAAAGCTGTGTGGCAGCAACCTGCTTCTGTCAGCTCTGGGCACGGTGATCTCTGAGCACCGTCTGCTGTGCAGCTCCAAAGGATTTCCCCCTTGAGTTTTCAAACAGCAAGAAGAGTGTCTGAAATCAGTCTCTACACGGCTCAAATACAGCACAAACCTCCTGAGGTCGCTGCTGGAGGTGTCTCCTGGGCTGGAGCCTCCACTGCCTCCTCCTCCTCCTCAGCAGAAGAGCTGCTGTCAGAGTCACTCCCTTCTGCTGTTTCGTCTGGGCTCTGCTCCTGGTTGTCCCTCGCGAGGCGCGAGGGCTCCGGGCGTGGAACGGGTCCTGCAGCTGGCTCTTGGGTCCTGCTGAGTTGAAAGTAATGGTCCAATGCTGCCCTGAGCCCAGAAAAGCAAGAAACAAAAGTCACAGTTATTTTCAGGTAGTTTCAGGTAAGCTAAAGACTCACCATGTTTCTCCATGATTGTTTGCAGTAAAGTTCCCAGGCTTCGACTGCAGCAGGAACACATCACAGTTATCAAGTCAGACCTTCTCTGGTAGGGGGGAAATCTCGTGCAATAGCCCACTTTGTGAACAACCAGCAGGATCAGCAACAATTCATTTTGCTCAGCTCAAAGAAAATCTGCTTCTCGTTACAATGATATTGCCTTCTTTTGGGGGAGGGGGGTTGGAGAGGAGAAAAGCAAAGTAAATATCTTTCAGCCTGAGGAACTCATAATCACTCTCTCCAACCCCAACTCAGTCCTGGTTCCTGCAGCCATTGGTGCCAGGCTTGTATCAGAGTCGCATTCCATTGACTACTTTGTGCCTAGTCTTTCTACCTTCCCTCTTCTTTTCTACTGGAACTTCATGCCTGGATAGAAACACTCTCTCCA